AATCATTGTCTCTTACTTCACTAAAGGTGGGAATCATTGTCTCTTAGTTCACTACAGATAGGAATCATTGTCTCTTACTTCACTAAAGGTAGGAATCATTGTCTCTTAGTTCACTACAGATAGGAATCATTGTCTCTTACTTCACTAAAGGTAGGAATCATTGTCTCTTACTTCACTAAAGGTAGGAATCATTGTCTCTTACTTCACTAAATGTAGGAATCATTGTCTCTTACTTCACTAAATGTAGGAATCATTGTCTCTTAGTTCACTAAAGGTAGGAATCATTGTCTCTTAGTTCACTACAGATAGGAATCATTGTTTCTTACTTCACTAAAGGTAGGAATCATTGTCTCTTAGTTCACTACAGATAGGAATCATTGTCTCTTACTTCACTAAAGGTAGGAATCATTGTCTCTTACTTCACTAAAGGTAGGAATCATTGTCTCTTAGTTCACTAAATGTAGGAATCATTGTCTCTTAGTTCACTAAAGGTAGAAATCATTGTCTCTTACTTCACTAAAGGTAGGAATCATTGTCTCTTACTTCACTAAAGGTAGGAATCATTGTCTCTTACAGCAAACAGCAAGTCCCGTTGCTTTGATACTATACGTATTGTTGATTTTCTAATGATATCTTCTGTTCTTTAATTGAAATGTGCATTGATAAGAGTGGAGCTATCTTAGCCAACAGGCTGCTTGTTTTTTCTAATGTTTCATAAAAACCCACCAGTTTACTGCTAATAAATTTTAAAACTTCCTCATTTGCTAAAGTTTGTTTATTTCATTCATTCATTCATTCATTCATTCATTTATTCATCTACTGTAAATGACTGCTACTTCCAACTATAAAACAAGTCTTACAGTTTTTAAATCATGATATACATGTTTATATATGTGTATTTGATTATCAATCACTGAAATATAGAAGTGAATTTTATCTAAAATCTCAATAACTATTTCAGCATGATGAAAAAGATGAGAGCATGGACTATGAGGAAGGTGAGATGGGTGATTCTATGAGTGGTACTCCCATAGATTACAACTTATACAGGAAGTTTTGGTCACTACAGGATTACTTCAGATATCCTGTGCAGTGTTACAATAAAGAAGCATGGAGAAGATTTGGTCAAGTATGTCTGTTTATTTTCATCTTTCTTTCAGTGATTTTTTTTTATTTCTGTAGTCTTTTAAAACTGTATTCATATTTTGTTCCAAGACAGAAATAAAATAAAAAGTCTTGTGCCAGATATACCAGGATTTTTTTAGTTCACTTTCAGACGCAGTCGGAAAACAGGGACTTATGAATTGACCTCTGTGCGTCTGTGCATGCATCCTGTATCTTAGACATGCCTGAACCGATTACATTCAAACTTCACACATACATCATACATAATACTATACATATGCAGCTTCTTAGCTGATAGTCATTAACAAGACACTGAATTTTGAGTTTGGTCATAAAAAGATACGGAGTTGGCGTTGAATATTCAGGCACTACATTGTTATGTTACCAGAACCTCACCATATATTTTATTTGGCCTTATACATACTTTTTACCAGGGTTACCATACCAGTGTTACCGGGGGTACATACCATTGTTACGGGGGTACAAACCATTGTTACGGGGTACAAACCATTGTTACGGGAGTACAAACCATTGTTACGGGGGTACAAACCATTGTACTGTTTTCAAACTCAACTAAATTAGAGCCACATCTGTAGAGTATTCAGTGTACCTTCTAAGCAGATATGATGCACTATAGAGACATTCTGTGATTGAACTAGTTGTCCTAATTCACTGATATGTTGATGTAACTGAAAATAATACATTGATAATGTTTTACTACTGGTATAAACAGAATTTGGTAAAACAAAATTTACATTGTATAAACAAAATAAATGTAAAAACAAGGAAATCATGGCCACAACATTTATTTGTACACAGTCACATTTTTTTTCTTGAACACAACTATTCCAAACTGACTGACTCAACTTCTGTATGTTTACTGATTGCTAGCATTCCAATGAAGTACTGAGTGCATTCCATAGTTTAAAATTAGATGAGGTTCACGCAAGTAAAAAGAAATTAGAACAAATGAAGAAAGATGGACACAGATATTTTGCCAAATATTTAACAAGTGAAAAGGTAAGTCAAAGATATGTATCCTCTGAATTAGTCTCATTTGCTTAGTTCACAGTGACCATATGCAGTATACATGTATTCATTTACACCAAATAATTCCAACACAATTCCATGAATTGAGCACTAATTGTAATATTTTTGTTGTAGCTCTTTGATTTGCAGCTGAGTGACAGTAATTTCAGGCGATACGTACTTCTGCAGTTTCTAATACTATTTCAATATCTCAATGCACCTGTCAAGTTTAAATCGTGAGTACTTTTCTAAATGGTATTCATATCACTTACAAAAACTTTACTCAACAATATTCCTCACCAGAACTGTGATCCTGTAAAATACTTTATTTTTACTTGATATTTATTTTCACTATTTTGTTTTGTTTTTATATTTTACTTTCAACTCATCAATTATCAGTAAAAATAAACTATGGTATGGTATTTCCTACCATCGTAACAGGGTCATATTAAAATTTAGATAAAATAGTGATTCTCTGATCCATAAGGCCAAAAAAACAAAACAATTTATGTTGCCCTCAAGTCTGAAAATTGAAAAAATTGGGTTGGTCGGTCGGATTTTTTTTTTTTTAAACTTGTGAAAACTAAGGGTATCGTAAATAGCCGAGGTATATGGGGAAAAAAAACAAGACTCGATATTTCATATTTTTCGGTCTGTCGCTGAAGGCAACAAAACAATTTTTTTTTTTGGCCTAAAATGGAGCCCCTTTAGTTTCTATTAACTATGTGTGTGTACTGTGAGGAGTTTAATATTCACAATTTAATGGCATTCTTGAAGTCACTGACACTCAGTGTTCTAAAACCCTCCCAGTCACTGACACTCAGTGTTCTAAAACCCTCCCAGTCACTGACACTCAGTGTTCTAAAACCCTCCCAGTCACTGACACTCAGTGTTCTAAAACCCTCCCAGTCACTGACACTCGGTGTTCTAAAACCCTCCCAGTCACTGACACTCAGTGTTCTAAAACCCTCCCAGTCACTGACACTCAGTGTTCTAAAACCCTCCCAGTCACTGACACTCGGTGTTCTAAAACCCTCCCAGTCACTGACACTCGGTGTTCTAAAACCCACCCAGTCACTGACACTCGGTGTTCTAAAACCCTCCCAGTCACTGACACTCGGTGTTCTAAAACCCTCCCAGTCACTGACACTCGGTGTTCTAAAACCCTCCCAGTCACTGACACTCAGTCACTGACACTCAGTCACTGACACTC